TTTTATTGTAGGAACACATCAAAAACGACAGTTAAGATAAGCATTAAACAGACCAAACAAAACAAACACAAAACAAAAACACCCCGTATGAATAACCCAAATATAGGTGTGCAGTGTAGGAAAACAGTGGCTGATTTGTGTAAGAAAGGAACTGCTTGTACCCGAGTTGTTGCAATGCACCGCACGGGAGATCTGAATTCTTCTTCCATTTTGGTCAAAGCAATGATTGTTTCTGCAATAGCATTTTTTGTCACCCGTGACCAAGCATCAGAGAGGTGACCCTACAGAGGAGAGAGGAATTGATATACATCATGCAGCAAGCAATATTAAAAAACAAACAAACAAATGTCCTTAAAAAAAAAAAGAACATTACAATTCCTAAGGCAGAAAGACTGAGGAATTTCACTGAGGATCCCAATGAAATGTTCAAGGTGCACCTAAACCTAGCTTTTATTTACTTCTCACTTAGCCCTGCTCCTATGAGGGAAAGAGAAAAGGCCCACTTTGGGAATAAAGTTCCAGACAGAATTCCTTTGGTGCAGCTCTCATTTAACTTTTGGCAGCCATACCCTGTAATGTTGACAGAAAATATCTGGAATCTTCCTTGTACTGCTGTGCTATACAGCAATGGAGACTGTTGCACAGCAAGACAGGGAGTATTCCTCTGTTTAAGCAGCAAGGTTGCCTCTGCCACGGGACATTTCTTTGCAAAAGCAGCAGGCAGGGAGCAAAAGAGGTTCTGTAGACAGCAGCAGGAAAAAACCTACTTTTTCTTGAAAGTCTGTAAAAAGCAAAACCTTGCAGAGTTCAGCAAACAGCAGAAAAGCATTCCTTTTGAAAGAATGATGTAGACTGGATGTGATTTTTTTATTTTTGCGTGTGCAGAATATTATTGTTTTCTGATTTGTTTATTATGCCATCTCATCTCATCCACACACACACACACACAAAGCACCCCCCACAATTTGCGCTGCATCAATTTAATGTCAGAAAAGATATGTACAAGTATGATAAACACTGGACACTTACAGCTGCCATGTCTTTTATGAGCTTAATGATGATCTCTGAAATCTGTGTTGGGGTTGAGCCCTTCATCCACCAGTGGCTTTCACCTCGTCTGAGGTAGCTAGAAAATAAAATTACAATCAGGGTCAAAAGGAACAAGCCACAATACGAGAGCCTATTTTTGAAGCAAAATGTATTTGCAAGCTTGAAGAACACAATTTTGAACACATTTTTTAAAGGAATGTGTACAAATGATTTTTAATTGAATGTTTTTTAATTGAATAAATGCTTTTTTATTAAATGTGTACAAATGTTTTTTTTTAATTGAGCACCCTAAATATTAACTGACTGCAACTTCTACTGACCTGGAATTAAAAATCATGGGCAAAGTAACTGTGGTAACTCCTTTGCCAGCAGCAGTACCAGCCGTGCCCGTTATAGTTGTTCCTTTGGCCTTCAGCTGCACCGTGAGTGCTTTGGCGATGCATCCCAGGAACATGTCCAAGATGCCCAGTTTATTCCAATCCCCCTTCTCTGTTGAATGAATGATATCACTTATATCCGCTGGGGGCAATGCTTTGACCCCTATGATACTAGCCAAGCGGCTGGGGGTGACCTCTGGCAGCACACGCCTCAGTAAAGATGTTACCTAGGAATAGAAATACAAAAAAGAGTGAGCTAGTGCAAATCCTGTCAGATTTAGGGTGTGATCCTATGTATTTTTAGACAGTAAAGAATCCTACACCTGGCAGGAGAACACTGTGAGATGTGGGCCTTTTTAATGCTTTAAATGATCACTGGAACTTTGACTGTGGACTGAAACTTGATACATTTGGCTTTGCTGTCTGTGAAAAACTTCTTCTGAACTCACCTGCCTCTGAACCCTGGGAGAAGCAGTATGCAACAGTGAGAAGAGATCCTGAAGCAGAGTCAGCTGCTGAGCCAGGTACTGCCGCCCCACGTTAGAGCCGCTCAGTGCCAGCACCATGGACAGCAGCTCAAAGCAATACGCGTCGGATGAGGCATCTTCATCACTGGGCTGAGAGTTCGCATTCTCCTTGCTAGAAATGGCGTGCTCCCATTCTTCGCGCACACGGGTGGCTTCCATTCGGATGGCCTGCACTATATGAGCACAGACCTAGCATGGGAAAAACAGGCACATAACGGAAAAAGAGACTGAAATGCAAACCAGACACATCTTGACTTCAGTGTCATTACAAGAAGAGACTTGACTTGTAACTCTGCTTAATGAGTTTTTCACAGTCATAAATGTTGGTCTTAACACTGAATTTTAGGTGTGATACCATCCAAAAGTTGCATAAACAAAGATACGTAATTCAGTAAGGAAACAGAAACTTGCTAATCAAGGGAGTCATACTAAGGGTTAGTGTACACTGTGCTTTTGGTATGTGTACACCACATGGGCCTTCCTACCACATGCAGATTATTCCCTGTGAATTAATGTTCATAAGTGAGAATATCTTGCCCAAACTGCTGAAAAAATAGACAGCATGGAGTACATTTGCATCTCAATGGCAATGCATAACCATCAGTTCATACAAAATGTTAGACATGTGGTAGGAGGAGACAGGGAAGCCCTGGGTTTGCTCTTGTGTATCCCTACACACTGAATGCACATGTACAACCACTTTAGAAATGGCTGCTAGGAGAAAAAATGTCAAACATTTAAAATTAACAATCAATAAACTACATGGCTCTTTCAAAGTTGCTTCAAAACTGGGTTCTCTCTCTCTCTCTCCCTCTCTCATTGGTTTTGGAGTGGACAAGTAATACTCCTTTTCTGAGTTTTAAAACTGGCTCCTGCTAGATGGACCCATCACTCACAATCATTATGTTCACACAAACAGGGGCTGCACACTCATGTGGATGTCCCTGAGGCAGGCCAGCTGTGCTCACTTCATCCTCTTCTTTTTACTTGAAAACCAAGCACACTGTGCTTTTCTTAGTGAAATGCAGAAAATCCTTCAGTGGGTCTGGTTCCACTGGGCACAGTAGAGGCTCTGTGTCCACAGCCTCTCCCCAGTGGTCTAGCCTGGCCTCAGGCTGAATCCCACAGCTCCCCTATACAAGTGTGTGTTGAATAGTTAGCATGGAAAAGGTTATTAGAACAACAAACCTGCTTTTGCAAATTTGTCAGTTTACTTCTGCTGAATATGATTCCAACCATGTGCTCTTTCAGGTCAGCATCTGAAGTTGCCTTATAAGAGAAACGTTAACATTTGAAGTGAGTGTATGTTTCAAATATTCCATTTTTGCAACCTGTAACTAAAAGTCAGAATCAGTTTTGTTTTCCCTACACATAATATAGAATGCTGAGGCAAAATAAATTCACTGAAGAGTATATAATTTTTTTTCTAGTTTCTTCTTTTTAAAAATAAATTTTAGGCAACAAATGTCTGAATAGAGTGAAAAACTCTTCTAATGTTGTTCGAGCAATTAATAAAGAGGAGGGGAATAAACTTTGAAGTGCAAGATGGTGGGCTTGCTCCCCGTAGCTCCGGGGACCAGCTACGTGAAACCTGAGGAAGTCACCCACTTTTCACATCACTGGAGAAGTTTATATACTGAGGACTTCTAGGAATTGCAGGAGGACCTCATTTGCACTCCAGATGAGAAAAATGTGTAGGCTTCATTCATGGTACCAGTCTATCATAATAACTTCATGATTTAGATTTTAGAAGGAGGAGACATTTGCTTGGAAGGAATATGCAGAATGTAGGAGAACTCAAGTTAGCGCTGACTTAAGCTTCTGCTGCTACCTCTGTGGAAATGGATCCATCATTTCACAGCATCTAAAACACTTGAGCAAGAGCAATTTAGGCTGCTTTTTGCAGGATCTGAAGAATCATACTTAGAAAGAAATTGTAACCTATGGGTTTGTGCTGGTCACTAAGAGGAAGTTCAAGAAAAAGGAATGCCATGGCATGTTAATCACAGCCAAACTGCTATGGCTATGATCCAAAGCAGGAGGATGCTCACTCACAGGGCAGAACCATTAGAGTATTGTTGGATGCTGACTATTGCTAAAATGAGAAACTGCTCTGCAGTGAGAAGACTCTGGTTGCTGGAATCATCACTAAGGACACATCAGCTTCCTTGTGAATACTGCCTATAAGGGCTTTAATTAGTAATGGAGGTGACCTTCAAAAAGTGGCTGCTCAGGACAGAATAATACACTGGTAGTACAGCTGCCCAGAGGTCACTGAAATGTGAGTAAAAATATATGACCTATCTACGTAACTGACTATGAATCCTGAAAAAATTATCCAACAATTGCTGCAATTTTAGTAATTCCTATTAATCTCTGAAGACCCAGCATTTATGTAATTACCCAATTTAACTAACAGTGTTGGCAAGGTTAATTCTGAACTATAAGGAATATCTAGTTATGGGGAACATAATCTGATGTAGCAAAATCAAAAATGTAAAGAATTTGCTTTACTAGTTTTAGAAGCATAGTAATGAGAGAATACAAATAATACATTGTGTACTTTTTCTTCTCCTTCAGGTGAAGAGAGCAATGCCTTTTCCTCTTGTTCTGGTGTTGGTTCAGCATCTCCAGATATGAGTTTTCCAAAGACCTGTTGGGGAACAGGAAAGAGACAGTGCCAACTTGCAGGTATAATCCACAATCTTTTATGCAGCTGCATTTGCAATTCCAAAGTACCTACAGCCAACTGCACACACCCTCTAAGTGGCAAAGAACAGAATATGCACTGAATATAGTCTTCGAATCAAATCATACTCATCTGAATATAAGTGTTCCTGCTCTACATTTGCATGAGTCAAATTGTTTTGCTACAAGAAACAGTGTTACCAACAAATAAAAGGAGACATAGTATTTACATCTTTATTTGCAATTAGCGGT